GCAAATACAGCAGCAACAAAAATAAATAAATGAGACTTAGTTAAATTAAAAAAAAACTTCTGCACAGCAAGGGAATTAATCAAAAGAATGAATAGACAACCTACAGAATGGAAGAGCATATTCGCAAACTATGGACTTATAACTAGAATCTTCAAAGAACTCAAGAAATCAGCACAAATAAAACAAACAACCTCATCTAAAAGTGGGCAAAAGACGTGAAAGGAAGTTTCTCAAAAGAAGGTAGAGAAATGGCCAATAAACATGAAGAAAAATGCTCAGCATCACTAACCATCAGAGAAATGCAAATTAAAACTATAATGAGATACCACCTTACCCCCGTCAGAATAGCCATTATTAAAAAGTTAAAAAACAACAGATGATGGTATGGATGCAAAAAAAAGAGAACACTTATACACTATTGGTGGGACTGCAAATTAGCACAACCTCTATGGAAAACAGTACAGAGATTGCTCAAAAAATAAACTATACCACCCGCCATTCAATCCAGCAATCCCACTGCCAGGTATCTACCCAACAGAAAAGAAGTCATTGTATCAAAAAGACACTTGCATTTGAATGTTTATCACAGTACAATTCACAATTGCAATCTAAGTGCCCATCAATTCAGGAGTTAATAAAAAAGTGATGAACACACACACACCCCATGGATTGCTACTCAGCCATAAGAAAGGAATGAAATAATGTTACATGCAGCAACTTGGTTGGAACTGAGACCACTATCCTGTATCTCAGGAATGGAAAACCAAACACCATACATCCTCACTAGTAACTGAGAGGTGAAAAATAACAGGCACTATGGACACAAAAGATGTAAGGTGAGAGGAGAGGTATGAGATGAACACTCATTGATTGGGTACAATGAACACTACGTGAGGATGAATACACCAAAAAAACCTTGATTTAAACATTACACAAGATATCCATGTAACAAAAACATCTGTGCCTCCTTAGTATTTTGAAATAAAACAAAACCAAAAGCTAACAGATAGAAAAGAAAATAAAAACAAAACACCATGCGTCCGACCTGGATGACAATATGTGAGAAGGGTGAGAATCTGTAGGAAGGATAAGCAGCTACATAGTGCAGATTGTACTGTTCCTTCATTCAAAGGTTCATCAAGACAACCCCAGTATGTATAAATGTGTCCACACCTTGAAAGTCCTCTTTAAAATGCCAGCTTCTTTTTATATTTCTATACAGTCCACTCTTCTATCAAGATATGGTTGGTGGGGAGAACAAAAGTTGTCTAGGGGAAATGGGTATAAGAAGAGACACATATAGGAGAAAGATGAGAAGATGGCTGAGTACATTTATCCAGGTGTGCCAATAAGGAACAGGAAGACATACTCTCAAACTATATGCTAAGCCTTGCTTAAATCGATTGAAATAAAGCCTTTTCTTAGTAAAGCATCACAAGAACGGAGAAGCATGAATCCTATGTACTCAATTTCGATGTAAGGACAATTAATGACCTAGTACACAGTGAGGGGTGGGGGAAAGGGAGAACAGAGAGAGGGAAGAAGGAAGAAGGGTGGGAGAAGGGAAGAGCAGAGAGAGAGAAGGAAGGAGGGGCTTGGGGGAAAGGAAAGGCAGAGAGAGGGAAGGAGGGAGAGGGTGGGGGTCTCGGTGTGTGACACATCTTTTGGGAGCAAGACACTATTATAAGAGGGACTTTATCTAACAAATGCAATCAGTGTAACCTGGTTTCTTGTACCCTCAATGAATCCCCAACGATAAAAAAAAAATTTTTTTTTTTAAATAAAGCCTGGACAATCAATGTCTTCATCCAGTCATATGATGTCTAGTTTCAAGAAAAACTGGGTCTTCCACACTTATGCCTTCATACAAACAGAGGAAAGGAACCACGGAATGTGAGAGACAGAGGAAACTGGAAATGTCCTTGTCACTGTGCAATGTCTATGAGGCCCTGACTTCAGTACCTCATCCCCAACCTCCTGAGCCAACAGACAGGACAAGAGCTCAGCTTTCCCAACCCCAGTGCTCTCTACTTTCCACCAGCCTCTTAAGGAAATAGGTTCCAAAGAATGACATCAGAAGGCACACATTGATTGACATTTGTACATGATTAATGAGAAAAAGCAAAAGCAAAGGTCCTTTTTACCTCTTAGTGTCCTAAATCCAAATATCAAATACATTCATATATGCAACAAAGCATCCTGGGGGCATCGCAACAATAAAACGGTAGCCTATTAATAAGAGGGGTTTGCAAAAGGAACAGTAAGATCCACAAACATGGAGACTGTATCTGACCCTCCACTAAAGGTATAATTATATGGTGCCACACTTCCTCCGCTTGTCAGAATACAATCTGAACTACCTGATGAGAGCACTGAAACAGTTATGTGAGCAATTCTGTCAAACAAATAAAATCTATTTCTTGAATAACTACTATCTATCAGTATACACCTGGACAGACACACAAATTATACTCCAGCCCCAAAAGGCAAAGATGTTGTTGCTTCTGACCCTCAAAATGCACTTAGAAAACCAAAATACACCCAAAGGTCTCAATTAAGAATACAGGCTGGCATCTGGGGGGTTAAGGACTAGCAAGGAAATGGAAGTTCAGAGACAGAACATTGAAGTCAGCATGAAATGGAGCTGCAAAGGCTGAGAGACTGCTTATGTAAGATGAAAAGATGCTTCATCTCACTGGGGGGAAGAGCTATTCAGAGCTGGCTGCCTGGCTCAGCTTCGCCTGCTGAGCTCCTCAGGGCTCCCCCTTCTGCCCGCTGGCTTTCTCCCGCATCTTTAATAGGAAGCCGAAAGGGAAAAGGTCGTCCAGTGCGTTTAAAGACACAGCAATGACACCACGTTGAAATGACCAAGCTGCAGAATGTGTCGATTCAAACATAAGATACTTTCCTGTCTTCCTGATAGAATCACAGGACAGACTTAAGCAGCTGCTTTTCAAAGAGCTATGCCCGGCATTGGCCAGAAAGGCAGGTGCACAGTTCATTACAACAGCTGTTTGTCTTCCTCCTCCTTCACCAAGCAGCAAGATCTCCTTGCCTACTCAGCAGGACAAAATCCTCAAAAATGAAAACCAGGCAAAAGAGACCCAAGGCAAAATCCACCTCCCTCCAAAACAAGGATAAGTTAATAAGGTGCACATAAGAAAATTTACTTAACAATAAGGGAGTTAATCAAAGGAAAGATTATTCAAGCAACCTAACTACCCATTAAGTTATGTCCAAAGATAAATACTGGTATGTTACAGGGAGAATAATGATGAATGAAAAATGACTCAAAGTGAACGTAAGAAGAAAATGAACACATGTGTATCAGTTAAGGTACTATTTTTTTCTAACTGTGGCAACAAAAGATTGAACAGTGTATTATTTCAACAGAACATACTTCAAGCCCAATGTGAATAATTTGCATCAGATTATACATATGAAAGCACTAGAATGGATAAGATGATCAATAAACCATCTCTCTATTTCTCTCTCCATTTCTGTCTCTCTGTCTCTCTTTTATACACACTCCACCCACCACCACCACCCACCAGGACCACAGTTAAATGAGTATGTCTTTCTATCTCTCTGTGTCTGTCTGTCCCTCTCAGACGTACACCACCCTACTACCACCACCCAAGGCCTATAGGATGAAACAGACAGTTTGAAATAATCTCCTCAATGACCAACCATTTCTCATTTGCTTTTGTCTCTTACCTTCAGAAAATACAGATTTGGCTCAATTGAACAGCAATCTAGGGTCACCAGGGCCCTAATGAGAACAGAACACTTGTACTGAGACACCACAATCTTCTTACTGATTTCATCTAGTTAGGCCTCCACTCAACTGAACTGAACACTGTATGCTATCATTTAAGAACTCTTTGCACCTGTAATCCTAGCACTCTGGAAGGCTGAGGTGGGTGGATTGCCTGAGCTCACAGGTCCAAGACCAGCCTGAGCAAGAGCAAGACCTCATCTCTTAAAAATAGTCAGGTGTCGTGGTGGGCACCTGTAAGGGCCAGCTACTTGGGAGGCTGAGGCAAGAGAATCACTTGAGCCCAAGAGTTTGAGGTTGCTGTGAGCTATGGCATCACAGCACTGTACCAAGGTCGACAAAAAGAGACTCTGTCTCTTAAAAAAACAAAAGCTCTCACTTGCTTCCACCTTCACCCTTGATTTCTCCAACTTCTCAGAATCTCACTGACCTTTGATTTTCTGGCTCTCATCCTGGAAGACTATCACACAATCTTGTTTTGTTTGGTAATTCTTTCTATCTCCTCTCCCCTCCCCACTCCCAGCAAGGTGCACCATGGGTAGGGAAGGAGAGGTGTGCCTGCTCTGTTTCTTTTCTGCACCAAACACAGTGCTAAGCAAAGAACTCAACAAATATTTGACCAGCTATTAACTGGTTCATTGACATCTGTGAGATTTCTGAGGTTTTATTCCAAAGTTTCTTGATAGTGAATAGTTCTTTCAACTAAAAAAGTAGTATTCTTCACCTGGAAAACTGTCTTTATGTCTTGCTGACACTCTCGTTTATTTCCCACTCTTCACAAGGCTTGTGTGTCAGGGCCCTCACAGGAGTGCTCCTAGTTCTGAAGAAAACGTGCGGGGATAGAAAGTCAGTCTAACGAGTTGAGCAAACCAAGAATTCGACACCAAAAGTGACTGCAGATGCGGCACAAAGAAGTTCAATCTGGCAAGTCAAATTCTTTCAAGAAAGAAAACTAACCTTAGAAACTTTTCTTTCATTCTTTCTTTTTCTTTTTTTCTTTTGCAAAATATCCAAAAAGGTATCCACCTACCTACCTGCGTTATATTGTCCATTTTCATGACAAATTACTTTGTCTCCATTTTTCACTTTTATAAGTTGAACGTAAAGAAAACTAAATCTCTGAAAAACATATCTATATATACATACTGCCATTACAAACCCAATCTTTATGACAAGGAGGAGATTTAAAAAGAAAAACAAGAAATCACGTCTCTTAGCTTACCATATGTTGGGGAAAAGGTGAAGTAGTTCAGATGACAAATATTATAGGCTTCAATTCTAACATCTTTCCAGATTCCCTGGGTAGGAAAGGAAGGGCCCCAGTCCCAGCTAAAGGAACACTGCTCCTGTCATGTCAAGGGGGAAAAAGAAGATACATTCTGATTATCATGAAATTTAAACATTATGAAAAAGTCTCATTTTAAAATTTTAAATATATGTATCAGTCCGCTATAGCTACTATAACAAAATACCACAAACAAGTGGCTTAAACAATGGAAATTTATTTTCTCACAGTTCTGGAGGCCAAAAGTCCAAGGCCAGAGTGTCATCAGGTTTGGGCCCTTCTGAGGCCTCTCGACTTGGTTTGTAAATGACCACCTTCTTGCTGTGTCCTCACATATTTTTTTTCTGCGTCCAAATATCCCTAGTATCTCTCCCTGTTATCTCTGTCGTCCAAATTTCCTCTCCTTACAAGGGTACAGTCATATTGGACTAGGGTCTACCTAACTACCTCATTTTAACTTAATCACCTCTTTAAAGACCCTATCTCCAGATAACAAGTTGACTCGTGAGGTCATTTTGAGGTATGGGGGTTTAGGAGTTCAACATATAAACTTTGGAGGGCCACAAGTCAACTCATAACCACATCTATATGACCTGCCCACATACACAGACTCTAAGATGACCCATGATGATTCACCTCTGGTATTCATGCCCCTGTGTAATCTCCTCCCTTTGAATATGGATTGGGCCTAGTGAATCACTTCTAACCAACAGAAATATAGCAGAAGGGATGTTACTTGGTTAATTTGGTTTTGAAAGACTAAGCCTTCCGCTCTGGGCACTCTCTTCTGCCCTCTGTTGGCCAAAAGGGAAGCCCGCTTCTGTGTCATGGCAGGACCCATCCCAGACAGCTTAGAAACCTGAGGCCTGCCAACAACCAACCACAAGCAAGCTTACAAACCAATAACCAACCGCAAGCAAGCTTACAAACAGACACACTTCAGCCTGTGTCAAGCCTTGAGATGATGGCAGGCCTGGCCCAAAGCTTGAGTACAAACTCACTGAAAGATCTTGAGCCAGAGGCACCAGCTAAGCCACAACTCAGAATCCTGACCGACAGAAACTACCATAATAAGTGTTGTGCTGACAAGTTTTGGCATAATTTGTTACCCAGTGATAGATAACGAATCTATTCGTTATCAACCCATGCTTCAGCCTATATCAACCTGTGCTTCATACTTAAACCTGGTAGAAATGTTCTAAGAGCATAAGATCTAATTATGAAGAGTGATACATTTATTCTTCAAAAGTATATTACATTGAAGCAACACAGTGCTCTTTAAGCTTTTCCAAAATATCTCTGAAATTAACCATTGTGTTTAAATGTAATAACTATAAAGATATTGTATTTAAATGTAATAATTATAAAGAATGAAGAAACATATTGAAAGATAAAAATTTTATAAACAGGGTTTTAAAAAAATTCCAGTTAGACTTCTTCCAACTAGTTCCTTGAGTCTGAATTCAAAAGTCCTTGTTTCTGAACATAGAGCCCCAAACATTCGATGTAAATCTTAAACACCGACACAGGTGGCCAAGGAAGACACTTTAGCAAATCTTATTCAAACTGACTCTCTGTTTCTCCCTTCTTAACACTCTATATCCATATTAAGGTATAATGGTTCAAATTCAAAAAAAATAGGAAAGGGATTTTTAAATCCCCTTTGAGCAAAAATTTTTATAACTTCTACTTTTGGGGTTCTGTTCTGTATTGTTTTGTTTTGTTTTTGTTTAAGACCAAATCTCACTCTGTTGCCCAGCTTAGAGTGCAGTGATGTTATTCTAGCTCACTGCAACCACAGACTCCCAGGCTTACCCGATAATCCTGCCTCAGCCTCCTGAGTAGCTGAGACTACAGGTGTGTGACAGCATGCCTGGCTACTTTTTTCTATTTTTAGTAGAGATGAGGTCTCACCCTTGCTTAGGCTGCTCTGGAACTCCTGACCTCAGGCCATCCTCCAGCCTTGACTTCACAGAGTACTAGTGTTACACAAGTGTGAGCCACTGTTCCTGGCCACCTGCTACTTCTTAAAACAAAAACATTATTTTCAAAACACAGTTAATTAAGAGTCTCAGCTTTTTAAAAGAAACCAGCACCAGAGGAAGTACTAAGAGCCTTCTGAATGGAGGCATTTGGCCAAACTGTTCTCATTTAAGTGTAGTATAATTTCCTTAGCTCTGAATTTGTCTAAGATAGAGAGAAATTTGTTTCCAATACAGAAAAAAATGAAGAACTAAAACTGCTTCGTAGTATCCACATCTGTCTAAATTTACCCCTTAAGTATCCGAGTCTCATAGCAGGATGAAAACCACCTTGGGAACATTTACTGGGGAGTTTGTAGTACACACGTGTATTTCTTTATTTGGGGATAACAAAGAGGGAGAGTAAAACATTCAACATCTTACCAGACAGACTATTTCCCCCATCAAGGGCTACATTCCTTCTTATTCACACAACCTCTCCATATGTGAATTTTCACTAATCCAGGAAGTATCTATGAAATGTTTTCTGTGTTTCAGGCTGGACGGATGTCGATGTATGAAACAAAGTCCCTCTGCTCACTGGGAGAGCAGGAAATTCGAGCATTGAATAAATAATTATAAGCATAATGAGTTTTACAAAGGAAATAGGCAGGGAACATATAGCCAAAGGTTGGGGGTGGCAGATGTGAGTGTCAAGACAAATTTCCCTGGAAAAAAGTGACATTTATATGGAGGCTGAAAGGGTGAGTACCATTTATCCACTGTGATTAGAAGAAAGACATAAGGTATAGGGTCTGGAATTGAAGAAGGTTGGACTGAAGATGCAATAATGGGAGTCTCTGGCAAATCAATTAGTTATTGCAGAAATGAAGGTAAATGGGTAGAGAGGGTATACAATAAAAGTGGCTAGAAGAGGCAGCACCCGTGCTCAGTGGGTAGGGCGCCGGCCACATACACCAAGGCTGGCAGGTCTGAACATATCCCAGGCCAGCTAAAACAATGATGACAACTGCAACAACAACAACAACAACAAAAAATAGCCCGGCGTTGTGGCAGGCACCTATAGCCCCAGCTACTTGGGAGGCTGAGGCAAGAGAGTCTCTTAAGCCTAGGAGTTTGAGGTTGCTGTGAGCTATGATACCATAGCACACTACCGAGGGCAACATAGTGAGATTCTATCTCAAAAAAAAAAAAAGTGGCTAGAACAGACAGGCCTGAATAATGTAACTTTTAAGAGGGGGAGGATGTGGATAAAGAGATACAGAAGGAACAGCCAGAGACTGAAGTAGAAAACAAGAAGGACGAGGCTGACCACTGGTAAGAGGGTAGTTAAAGCAACGGACCCCGCCACCTACGCTGCACAGAGAAGGAAGCTGAGGCAAGTGGGGACTTACGTTGATAAGGAGAAAGTGGCAGAATCAAAGAACTGGGGAAGAAAAGTGACATTTTTCTTTTAACGAGACACTTCCCACCTCTATTCCCACTGACTTCACAGAAGCTAAGTGGTGGCATTTTGTTTTTGTTTTGTTTTGTTTTGTTTGGGTTTGGTTTGGTTTGGTTTGGTGGTGGTGGGGGGGGTTGGGACAGAATCTCCCTTTGTTGCCCTCAGTACAGTGCCATGGTGTCATAGCTCACGGCAACCTCAAACTCTTGGGCTCAAGTGATTCTCTTGCCTCAGTGTCCTGAGTAGCTGACGGACTACAGGTGCCCTCCCTAACACCCAGCTATTTTTAGAGATGGGGTCTTGCTCTTGCTCAGGCTGGTCTTGAACTTGTGATCTCAAGCAATCCACCTGCCTTGGCCTCCCAGAGTGCTAGGATTACAGGTGTGAAGCACCCCACCAGGCCTATCAGAGGCATTTTGTTCATTACAAATTTAAAAATCTGTATTTACAGTAATAAGCCTCCAAAATACATAATATCACTACTCTTCTTGGATTACTATATAGCACTTAACAATATTCAAAGTGCATTAATTTATATTATTATTTCACTGAATCCTCATATAACACTATCAAGAAGGAATGACAGGGATTATTAGCGCCATCTACTAATGACAGGCGTGCCCAAGGTCACTCTGTGTTTGTAATGCCAAAATTCAGATATGAGACTCCTGACTTGGTCTCCAACTCAGGTCTCTTCCCGCTGGACCCTGTCAATCTAGCCAGAAACCTGAAGATGCAATTTGTAATTGTTCTGGAAGCCTGCCCCCAGGTTAGTGTCCCCTACGTTGTGACAGCTGAAAACTGGGTCTGTTTCCTGATTTTGTTGACACAAGTTTTGTTCTGTATAGATAATTTTAGAGTATGTTTTAAATGGTACCGATTAAATAGAGAGTAGAGGGGAAATACCACTTGAATAAAGGTATAACATGTATGTTACCTTTACTGACAACTTGAAAACTAACTTTTCACATTAGGATCCAGGATAGTCGTAGTTTCTGTAAAGGTTAAACATGGAAGAGGGAGTGCAACCACTAGCATTGAGAACACTGTGTCATTTGAAACCCAAGGCAAAAAACAAACACAAACAAATCAAAAGATGAATCTTAACACAGAAGCGTAAGTATCCAAGTATACTGCAGGCTACTTAACTGCTAACTATTGTCAGAGGAGTACTCTAAAGCTGTTCAGTTAGAGTAATATGAACAAGTGGTTAATGAGTCACTGACACAAATTTGAGTAGGTTGAACCAAACAAAAGGAAGTACAACTTTAACCTTCGTACTTACCTTAAGGAAACATAATCTAATGGTTAAGTCCATCTAGCCTGAAGAGAGCCATTTAATCAGAATGTTATTACCTAATTAACAGTTTCACTTAAAGAGTGCTAGAATGAACTAGCTTCACATTGTGAAGAGTGCTTCACAATGAACCACATAATTACAGTGCCTCAGAAAATTAAAAATGGGATTACCATATGGTCCAGCAATACCACTTCTGGGTATATATCCAAAAGAACTGAAGGCAGGATCTTGCAGAGAAATCAGTACACCCATGTTCATAACATTACTCAGAACAGTCAAAAGGTGGCAACCCAGGCTGGGCACCTGTGGCTCAAGCGACTAAGGCGCCAGCCACATACACCTAAGCTGGCAGGTTCAAATCCAGCCCAGGCCCACCAAAA